ATGAATAATATTCAGATGAAGTGGAAGTTATATTAACTTAAATATAACTATGAATGATTAATAATAGCCAGAAGTTCACATGAGCTACATACAGAACAGAGAATGCTCCTCAAGATCAGAGCAATAGAGCCACAGCTTCTATGTTACAAAGGAGTTACCGTGAGTTTAGAGCGGAAGATACATTAAGCATTACAACAGTACATAAGTTTTTTTTTTTTGTCGAAACAACAGTACATAAGTTACAGATGAACATAGGTGACATATAGGGATATAAGAGTAAGGCATTACAAACCTATCTTACCAATAAATTCTTCGTAAACACGTATCGCATAGTCCATACGAAATATATCCACCGTAGCATCAGAAATATGCCCCATATCCGCGACTAAGAAATTATGGGAGTGCATTTCAATTAATTTCATCATAAACGGTCCACAATCTCCAGTCTTTGTATTCTGCGGAAGACCTTCAACACGATGATAGGTGAACGGTGAATCAAGTAAAACGCCAATGTCAGTTGGATGACATGACGCCTTCAACAGGTGAGGCAGCATTGTAACCAACGGCTCCATATATGTTGCAACCTCATTGTCAGATGAACACTCCAAGTATGGTTCAAGGATATCAATGTGGGAGGATTTCAGGCATATTACGAGACCAACCCAATGTCGATTTCCCCAATTCATTGGCACATATACAATGGTAACATCCTTGAACCAAGTGGTTCGCTCTGTATGATCTCCACCTGTGCCTTCAATGTAGCTGGCAACTAGAGGGTCCCAAAGAAAGGCAGAGGGGGAAGTTGTGTTGACAAAGTCAGAGTACTGAGAACAAAGCAGCTGGGTAAACAAGCTGTCAAGTAGAATTATTTCCTTTGCAGCAAGGTACGATCCTCTTTTTCGCCAGAACGTCCTAAGAATCAAGGCCATATGCTGGGGAAAAAAATGCAAATACCAAAGTCACGTAAAGAAACGTGTTAAAAAGCAGTGCGTAAAAAAAATGCATGAGGAAGATGTGGAATAACACAACCAAAAGGATGAAATAAAGGGTATACATATATAACAAGTACTGGAAAAGGGTTTTTTGCAAGGGTGATAGTGGAGAAGGGGTTAAAGAAGATGTTAAAAGATATCAATCTAGTAATTGCAAAGAAAAACCATATTAGATAAACTTTGTATTGGGGTTAAAGAGTAGATGGACATAGAAATTAAGTTACTGAATGATGAGGGCATAGACAAAGAAGATAACTCACAGTTGAGAAGATCCACTTTTGTGGGGTGTAAATATCTGAAAAGAAGGTTTTACCAACTTCACAGCCATCAATATCGTAAGTGCTGTAAAACAACAAATGGAAAAGAGGAAGTGAGTAGATGCACATAATGTAATGGAAGGAAAAATTGTTATAGAAACGCACGATTTGCGGTAAGACAAAAGCTGGTTTTTAAAAGTTGCGCTAAGCCGTTGCGGAACAGGATGAAAGGGAATGTAATCAACATGGCCTGGCAGCCCTTGTTTCTGCCGCTTTGGGGATTTATTCACGTTACAGCGGGTACTTGCAATCATTCCTCTCTTATTTCTACCTTTCATAGGCTTTAAATATTTTTGACCTAGCTGTGGAGGCAATTCAGCCACCCGTACAGGGGAAGAGTCAATTAAAACGTAGTTTAAAGGTACTACTCTCAACATTCATGAAATATAAGTGAACATATACCTGCAGGTTTGAAGGAACATCATCTTCACGCACTGACGGCTGGAAAGAGGGATCTCCAGTTTGCAGCCTACTCTCAGGGGTGACAGTGACATCCTATACCAAAATTCAATTAGGTAAAAGAAACGAATAATGGATGATTAAAAAGAAGCAAATGTATGTAACATAAAACCATGTGCAGGGTTAGCGTGGAATTATATACCTTTGAACAATTTTCCACGCAACCATATACGCGGCCTGTATCAGAAGAGAAGACTTTGGGTTTTCCAGTTTTAACTTCAGAAGGCAAAGCTACATTTTCTTCTTCTTCCAATGGTTTACTACTGCTAACAGGTTTAAGGGTATCTACAACAGCAGCAGACAGCGAATCCGCCCTCGAGGCTGCGACACCACAATTTCTGCTGCAATTTCCACATGTACGTGCCTCCAAAAAAGATTTAACCTCAACAACAACATCTGCTTTCAGCTTTACATATAACTCCGCATACGTGTTTTTAAGATGTGCAACTTCTGTTGTTAGTTTAGCAATAGCTTCGGAATCAGCATTTGAAGATAAAAGTCCTAGCACAGGAGCTGGTGTACATGTATTTGGCGGAGAATAATCAGGTCCACAGTTGCAGCGACAATATTTTTTTTTATCACAGATGCACAACTTTCCTAGTGACGCATCACCACCCCGCCAGTCTCCCTTAGAAAACCTATAACCTCTTCGAATTAAACTCAGCAAATGGGAAACTTTAGGATCACCAACAGAGACACAGTCCTCTTCAGTGGAAACCACAGATTGAGAAACAATCAGCTGCAAGTAAAGTAGAAAACAAGGTTACAATTGGGTTAGAAAACCTAAACCTATAAAAGCACAAGAAGTACTCACGTCTTTGTCGTTTTCAACTAGTAAGATGTTATTTGTGTGATACGTCTTCAAGGTCAGTAAGACAGACAAACTCATATCATAAAATGTCTGGGCATCCTTAGATGATGGCAAATAACGAAAGAGGAGGGGTATTGACTGGAACAGCAACAATTGTATAGCTATTGGAAATCCATGGATAACCAAGGTTTTTTGTTGCAGCTTGTTGATCTGGATGTTGTGGTTCCTCACTTTCTCCCCAACTTTAATCATACGAAGCGTATGGTCAAAAGCATGTCGACCCCAAGGATAGGAGTAGAAAGTATCTAGGTTTCTAACCATTTCTACAATAGGTAAGGAAGCACGGATAGGCTGAGTCCCACATATTAAAACACCTTCAACAATAACTATAAGCGAAAGACGAATTTTTTTCCATCCTGGCATGGCAGGTTCAGCTTTGAGCATATTCACAATATGCTCAATTGTATATTCATCTTCCCTCCCAAGAAGAGTATACCAGTAATGCTCTGAATCTTCCGGAGCTGTTTGCACAACAGCAAGTTTTGCTGGTGAAGGGTAAGGACCACAAGGTAAACCAGTTATTTGTTCGAACTCAGACAAAGAAAATCTCAGCGGATAGCCTCCAAAAGTGAACCACATCTCGTCAGAATTCTTTGTAACAATTTGCCTACACAGAAAGTTGTGTACAAGTTTACCAGACAATGAGCAACGCCGAACCGGGAGTTCAAATAACGAGCTGAAAGGCGATCTCTTTAGGGTTACAAGTTCTGGCGTCCCATCAAGAACTGATAATATATCAACAAGATACTGGGGCTTCGAGTATGAGTTGGCTCTCCCTCGGGTTGGGTAGCGATCAGTAGAAAAGAAACGCTTTGGCAACACTTGGTCATCAGCTTTTCCAAATTTATCCTCATCTATAAGGTGTAGGAAAGGACAACAGATTTTGGTACATATGTAAATATTGGAAAGCACCATAAGCAGCACTAAATCCAACGTACAGACCTGTGGAAGAGGATAAAACCCCAGCAACACTAGTTTCCCCATCTGCAGAATCAGGTACATCCTTTCTTGACAAGCTATCACTTGAAGATGTAATAGTTTTGTCGATGTTAGACCCTGACGTGGAGGTGGGTGAACGTGGAGAAGAGCCTTTAGAGAAAAAAGGAAGGACATATAAATACATGATCTAAAAACAGCATTTCAATAATGTAGATACATAATAGATGAAAGATATAAACTGAATAAGAAAAAATAAGCTGATGATGGAAAAAAAGTTAAAAGAGGAGTCTTTATAACGTACTTTCAGATTGAGCCTGTGAAGAAGACACATCAACAGGAGTGGTCCCTATAATCAAAAAGTATGACATCCCTTGTTTTATAGCACAGTCATCATAGAACGGAAGATATCAAAAAATAACAGGATAAATGTTAGCAGTACGAAACAAAAACAGAGGCAAATACGAGGAAAGTACGACGACAACTATTCTCAGAGCCTTTAGTGTTACATGAAATTTCGTGAAAATTGATTATTACATACAAAAAATTCAAAAGCTTATGAAATTTAAAATCCCAGAAACTGTAAAGCAGAATGAATAAAGGTGTTTTTACAGTAACACATTAAGGGGGCAAAAACGAGCACAGTACCTTCACCAATAGTAGCAGTGGTATCGCTATTTGATGAATCTGCAAAAAAATGGAGTTTTAGATTTGAGCATTTCAAAACCTTGACAACTTGATTATCACATCAACCGAAAAGCAGAAATACAACAGATTGCAAATTGAAAAACTAAAACTTCGGATTTAACCTGGAATTGTATTCCGACAACGAGATTCTTCTGCCAGCGAGTTATGAACAGCTTTAGCCTTTTTCATTTTTGGGGACACGGCCGATTGGGAACCGAAAAATGCGGCAGCTTCCTCAGCTCTCTTACTCCAGGTGCTAACCATCAAAACGGATCGAGAACACAGACAACGTAGAAAAAGTGAGGTTTTTGTTACAGTAAACCCTCGATTGCGAATTTGTCGTTTCTAAACGGAGGAGAAAACAGAAGGCGAGAATGACGTAGTGTGGAGAAGGGCAAAAGCGTAATCTAAAAAAGTTAGAGTACCTAAATACGAAGGGCATAATGAGAAGTGCCTAATGCGAAAGACATTATACGTTTAATGGTTTTTTTTTAATTAACTCTTTTAATAATAGGGATTAATGAAACATCAACCAATTTGAAATATATTCTTAATAGCCAGTAACTTAATTTATAAGATTGTAATTTGTGCAGTCTTTGTTTCAAGGAAGAAAAAAAGAAGTCTGGCTATAGAAAGGGTAAAAACTAAAAAGTAAGATTCTTTGTAGGAAGAGAAGTGCACACGTGGCTAAACATAAGTGGATATATTAACAAAACCCGGTTTTATATGTAATAATAAGAGAAGCATCAGAGAAAGATAATTAAACCATCTCTCAAAATGGCTTTGACTGTTCACAAGAAAGCTCCCCAAAAGGAGCGTTGCTTTACTCTCAATCTCCTCCTATAAAAAGAAGCTCTTCTTCTTCTTCTTCTCATTACCACAAAACTCTTTCACCGATCTTCTCGTTCATTTCTTCTCCCGTCCTATCATTCATCATGGGTTCGAAACCCGACCCGGTTGCTCCAACGAACCCGACTCGTCATGAGAGTAATGCTGCGAAAGAGATTCGTTACAGAGGCGTTAGGAAACGTCCATGGGGAAGATACGCCGCTGAGATCCGAGATCCAGTTAAGAAAACTCGGGTCTGGCTCGGTACGTTCGATACCGCTCAGCAGGCGGCGCGTGCTTACGACGCAGCAGCGCGTGACTTTCGTGGTTCGAAGGCTAAGACCAATTTCCCGACGTTTCTTGAACTCAACGGGAAAACGGAGGGTGTTTTCGTTGGTAGTCCTACTCAGAGTAGCACCGTCATCGACTCTACCTCTCCCACGGCGCCAAGGTTTGTAACACCTCCGCAGCTCGAGCTCAGCTTAGGCGGCGGCGCGTGTCGTCGTAAGATCCCGCTTGTACGTCCGATTTACTACTTTAACATGACGGCGTATCCGAGGAAGATGACGGCGTGTGGTGTCCAGAGCGAGTCTGAAACGTCGTCGGTCCTTGATTTCGAAGGTGGAGCTGGGAAGATATCTCAGCCGTTAGATCTGGATCTTAACTTAGCTCCCCCGGCGGAATAGGCCGTGAGTTTTTTTTCTTTCTTATGTCGTTTCTTTAGAAAAAACAATAACGTTTTCTTTTTCAGCTTAAGAAAAAAAATATTATCCGTTTTTTAGAAGAAAGTGGAGAAAAGCTAAAATATAATTTTTAGCTGCCATGGAAAAAAAGTCGTTATGTATATATTATTATCAAACCCTATAATATAATCGACGTAACATAAGAAGATCTTTCAGTTTTTGTTGTTTCTTTTCTTTTCTTTGCAACTGATTTCTCATCTAATTTATGAATAATATCATTCATAATTCAAGAATATAGGAAAAACAGAAAGATAAATTATTATAGAGCTTTTTTTTAGGGGGGTCGTGTGTAGGAAATAGATAAAAGAATGATAATGTTATTTGTATTATTATTATAAGACTAAAAATAGTTATGAGTATCGGCGTCGGCTTGAAAATGACAATGGTCCAAGTGTCGTGAAGACACGCACCAATCGTGGGAGGACCGGACCCATCTTCTCTGGCTGCGGCGTACGTTAGAATAATACTTCTTTACGCTTACGTCATTTTCACAGTTTGGACTGCTTTTTAACTTTTGACTTTTGTGTGTTTGCATCAAACTTTTAACTCCAAAGACTAATTACGTATCTAACAAATAGTTAAGACTCTTGCTTAAGTAGATAGTATATGCGATTTAGAATGGTATATGTTAAAGATAAGAAGGGCGGCTTCATAATGAGAGACAAAGGAAGGATGAGATTTGGATTTGATTCTTGTCGCCAACTTTGTGATCAAAAAACGTATAAAACAGTTAAGCACTATGGTCTCAGATCCAACGGCTGGAGTCGTCATCGTTACCACGTGGACGGATATAATAACTTTAACTCTTTCTCCTTTTTTTGGGATAATGAAGATTGAATTTGGAACACGGACGGCGAAAATGGACCTACAAGGACCAGTAGAAAACATTTGAAATCTCTTTTAACATTTTATATTTTTTTTACTATTATGACTTACGTTACGTAGAACGGCTTTTGGATTTATGCGTTGGTGTTTGTGTTATTTTTTTTCCCATCAAAACGCCGGATACTATATTGGGATGTGCGAGTTAACAACACTGGTTAAATTCCAAAAATATTCACTCAAAAAATTCCAAAGTAGTTGACGTTTTTTTCTTCTTACATATATATTGGAATTTTAACAAATTTGCAAAGTGATTTATTCTGTGATTTCCGCACACACAAAAAATGATTTTTTAGAAAGAAAAAACGACAATTCAACTTAATCTTTCGTAGCGTCTACTTTTTTAACAACGTATGAATAAAAAATCTAAAAAGTTTCAAGTCGTTGATACCATCTAATTTCTGACGTTTAATAGAACTAATCAATCTATGATATTAATTTCAAAAAATATCACAAAGCATAAATCATTTATCGTTTAACAGAAATTCAAATCCTTATTTCATAATTTTGTTTTTTAAGTTGAATAGTTTCAATAGAGCCCTTTTCTTAACACTAACTACATTTAGCCCCACTCAACCATATTACACTCGTGTCATGTCACCACGCACAACTCTGCATTCATGTTGTATTCATTTACACATCTCTCCCATAAATAGATGTTTCTTCAATTGAGGATTGCAAATTTGCAAACCTTTTTACGTTACCAATTTAATGTTGGAGGCTACCATACTAGGATCCGAAAGTCCGATCCACGCGACACGTGGTGCTGTCATATATGTGAAGGTGACTGACAGTCACTCTAAGCGCGTCGGCTGAGGAGTTACCCTCCCAGTTGTATTTTCTTGTGACGGTGTTTGAGCCACGTCGATTAATAACGGCGAACAAAACTCCGTTTTGGAGCTCTGTGACTGTGACTGTGACTATATGATTTTAGTAAAAAAAAAAAGAAAGAAAAAAAAAGCCTAGGTCCTTTCGTTCTTTGACCATTTCTCCGACCAAAAAGGGACCACTTACTCATCTACGTTTATTGGATAACACATTGTATAATCACGTACGTATAATGAATACGTGTCCTTTGAAAGCTTTAGACACAGACCATTGAGAAAACATAAAATGGTGATTTAGTGTGACCTGAAATTTCATTTTACTTTGCGAATACTGTAATGGCATCATCGGAATTGCTTGTAGCTTTTACATTGACACCATAAGATATATTTTAGTGTAAAAGTAAACATTAAGCGAATATAAAAGTGAAAATATATAACGTGATTGGTCACACTGATTTAGTTTTCCTTTTCTCTTGACAAGAAGCTAATCGAGATTTTCTTCGTATGTGTGTTTTAGGGCTTTAATTAGTATGTTTGTGATTCAGTCTCCGATAATTCATCAAAGGCTTACTTGAGGAATCACGGAAAAACGTTGTTATATAGTTTAAAGAAGAACAATATAGGTTATACTATAATTCAAACAAGGTCTCTATTCAAAAAAAAAATCAAACAAGGTCCGGTTTTTGAATTTGAGTCGCTTCTGGCCCGTGCCTAAAAGAAACTTTGCTTCAACACTTTTCATATTGAATGTGTATGTGGTGAAAACTGGCCGGTCAATATTTCTTTCAATGGGGAACGAAGGTTCAAATTCTTCGCAAATGTAAAATATTTCTCGACCATTATTATGCCATTCTTGCAAGAACCATAGTCAAGGGTAGTGATGTTAATTTGGACATGGAACCCCATTTAATAAATGGGTATGTACAAAAATTTAGCCCAATTAAACCCATTTAAGAAAAAATGTTAAATGGGGTTAAATGGGTTACCCCAATTAATCCATTATAAATGGATTTTCTACAATAATGGTACTCATTA